AAAGATTGAGAAGGAAAAGCATGTTTATTCACACAAAAACTTATATGACAACAACTACAACTGGGTAAATTTACCAAGGTTTCAGGATTCAGGCTAATTTGCAAAATTCATTTGTATTTTTTACACTTACAGCACACAAACATTTTTGAAGTTCATTTTACAATCAGACCGAAGTAACAATACTTAAGATTTATAAGATATGCAAGGTCTTTGCATGAAACTTGCTTGTGAGACTTAAATGTATGGAGAAAAATCTCACTCATGAATTATCAAGATGTCAGTATTGCCCAAAATAGATACAACACCATCCTAATCAAGATCACACAGCCTTTTTCTGATGAAATTAACAAGCTGATTCAACACATTATGGAAACAAATATTTTATTTCAAAAAGCAAAATCTTCCAAAGATGAGCAAACAACTGCCTATTTTGTAAGATAATAATATCATTAAGCTTCTCTTCTGGAGGGTTAACAACTTAAGTTTGCAGACCAAAAATTAGAGAAAAAGAAGGACAGCAAGGACAGCCAACATTTTGGCTCTAGCCTTTCAAGGTCAGTGAGGACTCAGGACATAGGAGAACTTGTACTGTAACATCCTGTAACTCAGTTGTGTCCCAAATTTTCTGATCAAGGAGATTACGGTCCAAGAGGAAAGTGATGGCTTAGAGTGTGCCTAAGGAGAGTCATATGGAGAAAAAACATTTTCTCAGGCTTTCACAGAGAGCAAATTGGTCACACAATGGCTGTGACTCATCCACATGGCTGACACTGACAAAGGAAATCCTGAGGGGATTTGACTGACCTTGTCAGATACAAAAGTTACATTTCTTGTTATATAGGTCTTGCTTCATCTTGGTCTTAACCATCGAGCAGGAAAGTATAAAAGCAAGATATAAAAAGTAAAGCCATATGAGCTGTAAAAGGCTAAAGTCAACAACTGCTGACATTGCCAGTCCTGTGAATAACCCACTACTATTATGGACTACTGGACTATATTGGATTATTTTGCTGAATTCACACATCTACAATATTTAAATAGCAATGGAATACCCATCTCTGACAAAAGTAAACAAAAAAAGGGGGATACAAATGGACCATTTTGTATCTGTATATACAGAATAATTAAGATAGATATATAGCTACTTTTAATTCAATGAGAAGAAAGATTTGTATTAATAGTGTTTGGACAGGATATCATATCTGCATCTTGCACTATGAATAAGCACTACAAAGACAGCCATATGCAATGTACTACTTATTGAAGCTGTCCTACTAATCAGTTTTGAAACTGTCTCATTGCTATTTGTTTCTCAATAAAATTAATTTTTAAAAAAAGATGAGCAAAGTTAGAGGATTGTACTCCTGACATCAAGATTCACTATGAAACTACAAAAAATTAAATGCTGTGGTATTAGCGTAAGAGTGGAGAAATGAACAAAATACAGATCCCTGAAATCCATTTCTATTTATCTTTTCAACAAAATGCACTGGTATAAGTGGATATCCACATGAATGAATCTCAACCCTAATCTCACACCACACAAAACTTTAAAGTGGACCAAAGACCCACATATGAAACCTGGGAGGAAGAAGACAAAACATATGCAACCTTGAGGGAGGTAATGCTTTATAAGTATACAAACGCCACCAGGGATAGAAGATTAATACATTGGGCTTCATCAAAATTAAAAACTTGTCAGGAAATAGATGTAAGAAAATAGTCAAGCCAAAGGTAGGAAATAGTTGTAAGATGTATATCTAAGAAACAGTATCCTAGATACATATAGAATCCCTAAAACTTAAATGTTAGAAACCAGCTTTTTAAATGAGTAAAATTTCCACAGATAAATATTACAAAGAAAGATATGCAAATGGCCAACAAACACATCAGGGGAATGCAGATTAAAACCCCAATGAGATAATGCTATATATGTGCCAAAATACACTGGATTTAGAATTAACACAACTCATGAGGATCGCATCTGGAACTAGTATGCATTATTAGTCAGAACAGGTATTCTGAAAAAGTGTCAGGCATTTTCTTAAAAATCTAAGTACAGACCTGTTCTAGAGCTAGCAATTCCTCTTGTAGGTACTTTATCCAAGAGACAAGAAACACATCCACAGTTGTATAAGAATGTTTGTTCCTAACACAGGGGCCAGGGTTTCAATCCCTGGACCTGCAGTGCTGGCCCCGCCCCTGGGGCACAATGAGACAGCAATTGAGACTGGGCATGGTGGTGCGCACCTTTAATCCCAGCTCTTAGGAGGCTGCAAACAGGCGGATCACTACAAGTTCGATCTAGTAGTGAGGCCCTGAACATCCTGTAGACCCTTCCCTAAAATACAAAAAAAAAAAAAAAAAAAAAAAAAAAAAGAATGTTCCTAACCATTTTATTTATGATGACTAAAACTTCTAACACTCTTATCTTCTACCAGTAGGAGAGTGAATAAAACTATGGTATATCAAACAATGAAAATTTAGCAACTGAAACATAGTACTAAGATACACCACATGGATAAACTTCAAAAACAATGTTGTACAAAGACATTTCATGTTTCTGTCATTTTGGAGACTTAAAACAGTTGTGTAAAGGCAAGAAATTTTTTTTGAGAGAAAATATTTTCTTCTGGGGGTTCATATGTGGGAATTTACTGAAAAGGAACTTTCAGGAATTCTGATCTGTTGGTGATATTTGTTGGATAGGTTACTTAAATTAATGTTTGGCTTCCTAGATGTGCACATCTATCAGAATTAACCTAATCGCTGATATACCTAAAATGTGTGCACTTCATTATATTCAGTAATTAATGATTTTTTCCAAAAGAAAAAATCCATAAAGAGTGAACATTAAATAATGTTAGAAGTACTGGGGATGGAAGGGAAAGTGTCCAGCTTTTTTTTTTTTTTCCTAAATTGTGGGTTGGCACCCCGGCTTCCAGTGTGCTTGACAAAAACTGCATTTGAGACAGTGCCTTGCTAACCGCCCAGGACACGGTCAGACTTGTAATCCTTCGGGCTTGAGTAACACACACCTGGAATCCAGCACTCCGAGGCTGAGGCAGGATAACAGCAATTCAAACCTAGCACAGTCATTTTCACTCTTAGTGTGACTCTGTCTCAGAATTTAAAAAATAAAAGCTAGGATGTAGCTCAGTGTGCTGGCTTTAGGTTCAGTTGGGGGGGTAGGGGAGGGGTTGAGGCGGCCCGAGTGTTGCAGTCCTATCTCAGCTTCCAGAGTAGCCCGACAGGTGTCCACACCTTGTTGAAATGCATCCTAAGTGAATATATTAATGGATGGGAAAAGGGACAGATAGATAGTAAATACACAATAGTGCGGTGTTAATTGTAGAATCCGTGTGGTGGGTATGCGAGAATCACTGTAAAATTTGTGTAACAGGGCTGGGGAGATAGCTCGGTGGTCTAAGCTCTTGCCTGGCAAGCTCAAGGACCCGGGTTCAATCCCTGGTACCACATGCCATGCTGACCCCAGAACCCTGGGTGCGCCGTGCCAGCCACCAAAACCGGGTGTGGCGGTGCACGTCTGTAATCCCAGTGCTGGGTAGGCTGAGATAGGAGGGTCATGAGTCCCAGCTGCAGTTCAAGACCCTGTACCAAATAAAGATTTTAAATTGTTTTAATTTGTCTAACTTTTTTGTATGTTTGAATTTTTTATAAAAAATTTTGACAAAATAATTACAGTATCTACCCTGGGTATATAGACATTCCTCTACACTATTACACCAAAACTGTCCTTCCATAGGGTAGGTGAAAGAGGGACGTCCGGGGAGTAGCGGAGCAAGAAAATTACTAGCATATTTGGACTTTGGATAAAAAGCAACAGAGCTGTGTTTCATCTAAATCACTTGATTTACTAAGCCGGACTAAGAACCCTTCATCTCTGTTCCTGATGAGTGTCGTGGGTAGGTGGGTCTCCTGGGACCACTCTCAGGATGCCAGAGAATTGCTTTCAGCTCTCAGATGCCCACGTATCCATTCCTTTGCGCATCCATTTTCCTTTCCCTCATCCCGGGAGCAGGTCATTCAGAGGGGCCCCGGCATGACTGGGCACACCCTGGGGGCGAGATGTGTCCGAAGGGGACAAAGCGCCCTCTCCTGGCGCCGCAGGGGCCCACCGACTAAGCTTCCGACCCGCCTCATCACCCACCCCCGGGATATGCGCACCCGGTGGGAGCATCGCTGCCCCGTGGTTGGTCTGCGGAGCGCTGGGGGTCTACCGGGGACACCAAGGGCGGAGGCGGCCGGATGGCCGGGCGGCCGGGAAGCGGGCGAAGGGGTGGAGTCGCTGCGGTTGGCAGCAGCGCGGTTCCACCTGTTGCAGCGTCGGACCGCTCAGACCTTTAATCCCAGCCCCACTCTGCAGGGCCCGGCAGGGCCACGCGAGGGGCAGTCTGGCCAGAGCAGAGGGTGCTCCATGCGAGGTGAGACGGGCACAGCCGCCGCGCGGGCGCCCACAGGGAGGTGGGTCCCTGGGAAGGCACCCCGTGCTTACCACGGGTGGTCTGTGCGGGGTAGGGGGCGCATTCCGCGCAGCCCATGCGGCACAAAAGCACTAAGGAGCCTCAGGCAGCCAAGCCGGGTGGAAGCCATGGAGCCCTCAGGGGTCGCGGTCCCCGGGCCGCTGACCCTGGGTGTGCTCCGGCGCTGGGCTGGCAGAGCCGACCCTTGGGGGCAGGGGACGCTCCCGCGCAGGACTCCGAGGCCAAGGGCGAGCTGCCCCGGGCAAGGGGCGGGAGGGCGCCCAGGGAGTTCCTCCTAACTTCCTTCGCTGCCCTGTTCCACCCTTCCTCTCCGGTCTCTCCCCAGTGGATCTAGCTGCTGGATGCGGCGCAGCGTGGGCGCCGGGCAGAAGGTCCTTCCCGCAACGCAGCTCTGCGCTGTCCCTGGGTTGATGCGCCGGCTCTGGACCCGCCGCTGCTGCTGCTGCTGCTGCTGCTGAGACCTGGCAGCCGGGGCAGTGACTCGAGAAGCTCGGGGATCGGGACGACACCGCCACTAGAACGCACTTAGATGGCAGATCCATCCGGGGAGGCAACTCCGAAGCCAGCAGACACCCCCGCGCCCTAGCTACTGCGGTTTAAGAAATGCTGGTCAAAGACACCAAGGCCACTGGGCTTCGCTTACCCGCCGACTTCTGGGGACCCCTGCCCCTCGACCTTCGCTGCCGTGGAAGTTAAGTCGCGGGAGTTTGCAAAGAAGATGCGCCACGCCCCCTCCCCAACCTGAGCCGGGGTGGAAGCCCAGCTCGCGCACCCTCTTGCAGAGCACAGGCGACTCTGCGCCCCGACACCCATAGTCAGCGCTAAGGAGAACTCCAGGGCGGGAGGGGGCGATTGGTGGTGGCGGCGGCGAAAAGCGGATACGAAACCCGGAGTCTAGGCGGACGTGGGGATCTCTGGTGCGAGAGGGACAGAGGCGGCCGCGCAGGGATCCTCGCGGCCTGGGGCAGCGTGCGGTGGTCATGGACGAGCCCGCCGCGGGGTGTCTGGGGGCTGGCTGAGCGCCCTTCCCCGGGCGTGGGCGCGAGTCCACCGTGGTCCCGAGGGGACCTGGCCCCAGGGCCAGACCATGGCCGGCCGGGGTTGCAGCTGCACTCCGGGCCACCTGAACGAGGACAACGCGCGCTTCCTGCTGCTCGCTGCGCTCATCCTGCTCTACCTCCTGGGCGGCGCCGCGGTTTTCTCGGCGCTGGAGCTGGCGCACGAGCGCCAGGCCAAACAGCGCTGGGAGGAGCGCCTGGCCAACTTTAGCCGCAGCCACAACCTGAGCCGCGAAGAGCTGCGCGGCTTCCTCCGCCACTATGAGGAAGCCAACAGGGCGGGCATCCGCATGGACAACGTCCGCCCACGCTGGGACTTCACCGGCGCCTTCTACTTCGTGGGCACTGTCGTGTCCACCATAGGTAAGTGAGCCAGCGGCCTCCACTTTCCCGGCTGGGCAGGAACGAGCCTCTCAGCCTTCTGTTCATCCGTGGTACGCGCCGCCAGGTGAGCTCTCTGCTGTCTGATCAACAGGTGTGAGTGCCTTCCTGGTACTCTAACTGTGGGCCCTGGGCTGCAGCACCTGTGAGCTCCTTAGACAGGCAGTGTAAGGAGACCCCTGCCCAGACCGCCTGAGTCAGATGCGCCTTATACCCACTCCTAGGGGAACTCAGTGATCCTTAATTTGAGGAAACTCTGCTCTAGAGATTTTCGGTCTTTAGACAGGGCTGAGTTCGTGAACTCTGGGGAGAAAGCTTACAATAATGAAACCAAAGGACGTTTATTAAGGACACTCACTGGTCAGAGGGAAAACCCCAATTTAAGAAAACTCTGTCCCTGACTTCATACTTATAGAGAAACTCAGACAGAATTCCAGATGGAAAGTGTCAGGCGAAAGTGTAAATGAGGAGGTGAAGCCTGCGAAAATGCTTTCTGCTTGGAGGAACCAGGGAAGTAGAAGCGACCTTTGGGCTGAACAAGTTACTGTTTTGTGCGACTTGGGTTTGACGCCTAAAGCTGATGTGCATGCATTCAGGGTTAGGGGAGAAGTGCTTGTGGGGCCCCGAGGGCTGGCTGACCTCCTTGGAGCGGCAGAAGGAAGTAAAGCTAGGAAGGCCTGATGGCTAAGGGGAGTGAGGGGTCCTTTACTGCCAGACTAAGGGATCAGAACTTACAGGAGGCAGTGAGAGCTGCTGGGAATTTTGAGCAAGGAGGCAGCCTTGTTACCTTCAGTTATGCCTCTGTTCTCATGAAATAAAATGATGGCGTGTGTGTGTGTGTGTGTGTGTGTGTACACGTGTACAGTACATCCCGGAAGTGAGGCAGTTACAAGGAGAATTGAGGCTCCCACACATCCCATGTTATGCACACAATCTGCCAGGGGTCATGTAGCAGGTAGGAAGAGCCATTCCCTGGTCTGACTCCTCACGGACCACCTCTTAAGGTTAACCTAGGAAGCCTGGGTTTCAGCTGGCCAGGGGAGGGCAAGCAGAGAGAACTGGCATGACTGGGGACAGGTGGGCATTATCTGAGGTGCTTGGTGCTGAATGACCCACTTGTAACCTGCATCCCAATGTGGTGTCTATGCCCAGAAGTGGACCATGGTGACGCCACACAGTAAACGGGAGTCTGGCAAGAGAATCTCAGAGTAGACACAGTGATGGTGAGAAGCCCCAGGCCCTGCAGGGAATAAATGAGGAGGAGTGTCCCCTATTGTTCCCACCCTCAGCCCAGTCCTTGCTGGACTCTCTAGGGAGTGTTTCACAGATCTCTCATTGAGTCACCTCCCACGTCCTTGCAGACAGCTCTAGATCGTCTCCTAGGGGAGGCTTGGGTGGACAGCCTGAATAGGATGTGCTCTGGTACTTACCTTGAGTCTGTTGTGTTTTGCTTAGCAAGTGGAGGATTTTTATTTTCCAGCTGAATTATATTTGAACTAGGGAGCTAGTCTTGCTAGGAGAGTGGAGGGACTAGATCCTCCCCACCACCAAGCACTTTTTGGTGCTCTCTGTGGATGTGGAGGTAGGAAAAGGCAAGGTCTGTGTGTGCACTGGTGACCATCCTGGCACTGGGAATTGGGAAGGCCAAGGGCTGGTGGTCATGTAGGAACATGGACTTTCAGCTGCAAATGCAAGAATGTAGCAAGTGAAGTAGAACAAGATCTGGCCACAGAGACTGGGGTTGGAACACTGAGTCCTTACCTCGGTAACTTGGCCCAGTTTCTTAACTCTTTTGAGTCCATTCCTTTGGTAGTAGAGTCTGGCAAATTGTAGTTGTTAGTTAACCACAAGTCCTGCTCCCCCTCATACACCTTGTCTTGGCCTGCTTGCCTTCTGGAGTTCCTTCAAGGGACAATGAGCTTGCGTAGGGGAAGGCAAGTTAAAAAGAACAAAGCATTGTCTATGCATGATTATTTTTACTTCCTCATTCTTAACATTTCCTTTTTGAATTATTTCAGTCCTTGCTATCATAACAGCACCTACTGTTCCTCGTTAGTTATTACAGCAGCCATTTGTACACTGGTGTTCTTAGTTGCATTATTCACAATAGCTGAAAGTGGAGACACCAAAGATAACAGCCCTCCAGACTAGCTTCCAGCCTTGGGGTTGCTGACAAGGTCACACCCTGCCGTGCTTTCCAACACAGACAAGTGCCCGGGCTGGCATGGAAACAAGAGCAGGCATCAACCACTTGCTTCCTCAGCAGCCGGAAGTCAAGTGTACTGAAAGGAAAGTTGCTGAAGGGTTATCTAGATGCGGGGATGCGCTGGAGTGGGCTAACAAGATAATCCCAGCTCATGCACATCTCAGATGCGCAGACGCACAGTACTCCGTCCTGCCTTGTGGTTACCTTGCAAGGTACATGAACAGATTTTCCACAAGAGTTTGTATTCATTTTAATTGAACAAAACAATTCCACTGGGGCCCATTTGGCCCTGGGTGTGGTTCATGGTGAGCAGTTGGGTAGCAGCACTGCCCGGTGAGGTTCTCAGGGCTCAGCCCTGAGCTAGCAGGTGTGTGGTGTGGCCTGCTCTGCGCATCACCTGGGTGGCACTGAGCTGGGTGCTCTGGGAGAATCTGTTTTTTCCACGTGGAATCAAGGCTAAAGAAAGAGCTTTTGAAATCAAATTATATGAGGCCGACACAATAAAAAGCTGGGAATCACTGTTGTACTGTATCAAGGAGCAAGCTAACAGCCAGGATGAATGGCCATTCAGAAAAAAATAAAAACATCGCATCAGTGCTAATGGATTTTTCACGTGTCAAGATTTCAATCCCACACCAAATGGCACTTTACGTTTTGCAAAGTATTAGTGCAAACCTGATGAGATAGGAAAGGATGTCCTTGATTTCTTCTTACAATTATAGAAGCTGAGATACAGAGGACTTAAACATTTGCTTAACACCAACAGCTTTAAAGTGGCAGACTCAGATTAGAACCCAGTTTTGTTTAGTATTTAATGATAAAAGAAATATATATTTGGGTCTGGGGAGATATCTCAGCGGTTGAAGCACCTGCCTGGCAAGTGCAAGGATGTAGGTTTGATCCCCAGTACCACATGCTGTGCTGTGTCCTGGAACCCCAAGTGAGCTGAACTGGCCAGCTACCAAGGCTGGGTGTGGTGGCGCACATCTGTAATTCCAGTACTGGGGAGGCTGAGACAGGAGGATCACTACGAGTCTGAGCTGCATAGCGAGACCCTGTACCAAATAAATAATTTTTTTTTTAAAAAAAAGAAAGGAATACGTATTCATTTAGAAGATGAGTTGGTGTCTTAGTCCTTTCTAGTGCTAACAACACAATAGTACAGACTGGAAATTATAAAGAAAAGAGGTTTGTTTTGGTCCACATTTCTGGTTCAAGCTCAGAGGTCCAGCGCTAGTGATGGCTTCCTGCTGGGAAAACCCTCCTGGGTGCAGAGTGTCACATCATGAGAGATGCACAGTGTATCTGTGTCTATGTCACCTGTGTTTTTCATCAAGCCACCAGGACTCAGTCACACATCCCCACTTGGTGGTCCTGACCTCCTCCTAAATACCCCTGGGAGCAGCTACTAAGGTGAAGTTCATCCCTCTTTATACCTCACAAATTCCAATGGGAGTTTCACAGGAGACACCATAGTAGATGGGACAAGTGGAAAGAAGTAGAAAATCACACATCACGATGCATCCAACAAAAAGCACTGCTGATATTCGGATGTCTCATATTCTGTTGAACCTAAAGCGCTATTTTATTGCGCCCTTAGGAAAGAAAGGCTGCCAGTTAAACCCTGACGTGCTGGCAGTGTGAGATGCATCTCAGTTTGGGAACTAAGAAAAGGTTGGGGAAGGATGCATCCGAAGATCACCGCAGTATGTTTTGCTTCTTATTGTTTTCCACACTGCCATTGACAGATGAACATATGTTTGTAATTAAGTAAAAATAAATCATAATTAAAATTTCCTTATACCAAAGTTGACTAATTTTTAAATATTTACTAAAGGTACTTTAAATATCTATTTTTTTTAAAGTTCATCTTCTCCGTATCAACTCGTTATTTCTTTCCCCATTTTTTTTTTAATCAGAAGCAAAGAGATGGTGTGTTAATGTATGTGTGTGCTTTATATTCCAAGAATTTTAGCCCCTCATCCAAAGGCTAAATGTTAGCATCATGCTTTCTATCCTTCGTTTTCTGTTTAATATTGTTACTTATTACTCAGAAGGGAAATATTTCTCATTTGTATTTATCTTCATCTTTCAGTCTTTTTCTTATACTTTCCTCCATTATCTTCGTGTTTGAAAATCTTTTCATAGCTAGATCCTATGGAATGCAAATTTTGTTCAGTGTTTTTCTAGCTGCTGTCCATTTCCAGTCCTAGCAGTAGTTTTGAAAGCATTGTAGGGTCAGGGAGTTAGCTCAGTGGTCTAAATGCCTGCCTGGCAAGCACAAGGACCCGGATTCAGTCCCTGGTACCACAAACTGTGCCAGCCACCGAGTCCGGGCATGTACCAAGTCCTGCAGTCCTAGCACTGGGAAGGCTGAGCCAGGAGGATCACTATGAGTCTGAGCTATATAGTGAGACCATGTACCAAATATATTAATAAATAAATAAATAAAACAAAATTTAAAGCACTATAATGCACTGTTCCATGTGGGGATTTTTTGTTTTGTTTTTTGGGTTTTTTGTACCAGGGATCGAACTAAGGAACTTGCCCTTGCCAGTCTCTTGCGCCACTGAGCTATCTCCCAGCCCTGCACAGTTCCATGTGAACAGTGGCAGCTGTATTTTGCAATCCTAGCTGAGGCACAACACAGAGTCCTGTGAAATAAGGACAGAGAGAAGAGCTGAAGAGGGTTTGCACTCACTCATGGCAGGGTAGGAAGCTCATCCTTAGAGCTATCTCGTAAAATGTCCTGGGAAACCTCATACTGTCCACTTTG